GAAATATCACAAAATTCCGGATTTCTTATATAAATATGAATGAAATCAAAAATTGTCTTCATGTGGTTTTCTTAGAAAAACCGTTCTAATCTATATTGGGAATGACTGTATTTCAGAGAAAATTATATTTTTACCCTGTATACAATATAGGTTTCAATTAAAACTTATTTATTAAAATGTATGTGTATCAATTTGTGACAAACTTTTAATTCATAAAGTTAAGAAAAGTTAGTGATTGTCCTGAACCTATGAAATGTAGACTTGAAATAACAATTTCAACACACTCTCAAATATAAGTTCAATATTTAATTCTCGTTTCATATTTTATTTACAGAATATTTACAGTATTATCAAAATTCATAGACGAAAAATATATTAATTATAATTTAATAAATCATTGCAAATGTTACAAAAGTTATCAATAAAAATTACATGAACAATCAGATAAATCACAATTATGTGGAGTTTTGTATAACTATTCACAATTATTTGGCAATCAATACTTTATAAAAGTTTAAAATAAAAATTTTAAATAAAACACACAACCATTAATAGAATACAGTACTGAATAAGTTATGCTTACATTCATGATTATATACAACAAAACTATATGAACTCTATTTGAATGGAATGAATGGTTAATTAAATGTATTTCCCGAGGGTTTGGTGAAAGTCGTCTAAACATGAGAGCAATTGAGGGAACGTTGGTCTCGCTTCGGGAACGGCATTCCAGCAACAGATCATTATATCGTATCTGAAATTCATAGGAAATGAGTTTAAAAATAGTTATCAAACAAAAATACTAATCAAAAGTGGTCTTACAGTCTGTCGGGACAGTTGATTGGCTGGAAGAGTCGGTAGCCATCCCTCAAATAGGCGGCCATTTCGAAGGGGTCGACTTCGAAGTATGGCTGCTGTCCTAATGTCATTAGTTCCCAGAGAGTGACACCGAAACTCCAGACATCACTGGATTGCGTGAACTCTTTCTTCACTAAACTCTCTAACGCTAACCATTTGAGAGGTCTGTTCTCATTATCACCCAAACAATGGTAATCGTTTGGAAATAAATCCCTTTATTGACAAAAAAAATACCACAATTAATGAATACAACTCTTTACCAGATAATTGATTGGACGAAGACATACCTCGAGAGCGCATGATCTGCTACTTTGACTAGAAATGAGTTTTGATCGGAAGTCTGGACGAAACAGTTTCTTGTGGCCAAATCGCGATGAATGAGACGGCGTTTGTGTAAATAAATGATAGCCGACACGATTTGAAGCGCCATTTCGACCAAATCTTGAGTCAGAAATGTGTGGATTTGGCCGTCGAGTGAGTATTTATGAGAACTCGATGTCTGGAGAAAGTGCTTAAGATTTCCGCCATTCATATACGGATATATGAGTAACGGTCGCTTAGGGTCATCAGTACAGGTGCCGATCAGACTCAGAAGGTTCCGGTGTTTGAGTGAATAAAACCTCATCCCTTCAGTCATAATGAGCGAGATCTGCAGTTTGGACGCCTGATCGGAGACCGTCTTAATCATAATCTTGGACTCAGCGCTCATATCGTTAAAGTCTGCGACGAAAAGTCCGCTATAGATCTGGCCAAACGTCCCCTCATTTAGCTTCTGTTGCAGCAATAGTTTCCTCCTTTCAATGGCCAACTCATTCGTCCGGTCACTCATCGTATCACTGGATCTGTTGGCGGCGCTGTGTTTGGCGTGCATTATGTGTGCGGGCACTGAGAGAGTGCGGTATAGGGAGACGGGCGGTGCGTTCAGAAAGCCCCGGAAACTCGAGTAATGACTGGCGTTCTTATTAATGGTCAGATTGTTAGGTGTGTCCACTCGGAAGTAGATTTGGCCCGACTTTGTGGACGACAGGTTTGTCAGACTTCCCGTGAAACTGGTTTACAAATACAACAATCAATTCATTTGTGCTTTCATTTGACGCATTGGTTCACTCACTCAGCAGTTTGTGTCTGCCTTTCCTTTCTGGGCCTCACGTAATAGAAATAACACGAGAGCGCCAACACTCCGACTACTAGTATGAGACCACTGGCGCAGCCGACTATTATGTAGAGATACGACTCGTAAGCGGACGGATTGGTGGCCAACACGGGCTCATCCACTCTCACTATCTTATCGTCCACTTTGTCCACACTTTCATTACTTGCGATCGACTTCGTGTCGCTTTTTCTGCAAATCTTTTTCCTCTTAAGAATCAGATCCGTGTGATTGTAAGGCATGTGCGACGACATGGTTATGTTGACCATCATCTGAACCTCCACTTCCGTACTCTTGGTTCCCGTGCACTGAAGAGATACGCCGAATACTGTTCCCAACAAACAATGTGTCAAATGAGACAACAGTGCCATCAGTCACACCTAAATGCATACCTTGTTCTCTAAGGGGAACGTAACCCATGTCTGAGATATTGATTTTTGGAGTCTCCAGAGCTGTTCCATCACTCACTCGGAAGCCAATACTGTAGCCCACCTTTGGGTGCAATCATACCATCCGTTAAACAACTATTAATGGACACAAGATATGACACAAACCTTAGGAATCACTGTAAACCATGTGAAGTGCAAATCAGATATCTCTGTGGGAACCGTTACCATAAACTTGAGGGCGTAATCATTGACTTTACCATTCCTGATGTAATAGATCTCTGCGTTCAGACCTTTTCACACAAATTCAAAACAATTGTAAATTTTATGTTTCATTTCCCTTACAATTCATTGGATCAAATCAATTGAGTTTCAGAGTCAATGAAATGTTGCCAAAAGTAGTGAAAGTTTTTCGGATAATGAGTTCATAAAGTAATTTATAAATAGAGATATATTTTGTATAAAAATTTATCTAATTATAAAACTTATAAGTGAACAAAATTATTATTATTTTATTTTAACTAAATTACCATTTCATGAACAATTGAATCTCTATTACAAATACTACAGCATAGGACTGAATGGCAAAATCTAACCATTATTTTTGAGGCAAATTAAACTAAATATAGTTAACTAAATAAATCACAAAATGTCATTCAATTTATAACTCAAATGTTAGACGATTGCAAACAATGTTTTATATAAACATATGTTTTGCAACTTTAATGCAAACAAACACTTGATTTATGGCTTCAAAAATAGCTATTAATTGGATTAAAGGGTAAGACATGGATGCGATTGAGTGACA